CGCCGCGGCCCCCCCTTCCCCTCCCCCCCCCCCCCCCCCCAGTCGCAGCTCAAGGGATTGTGCAGAGATTTGTACCCGCTGGCACGCGACCAGCCCCAACACCAAGACCCACAGCAGTGTCCCATGCAGCCGGCACCGCGGCTGCAGCTTGAGGTGCTCAGCCAGGCCAGACCCTGGGGAGCACAGCACCGGTGGCACTGCCGCGACTGGGGGCACTGCCACGACTGGGGGCACCGCTCCTGCGAGCCCCAGACCTCTGCAGCCCCAGCGTGCCTCCCTGGGAAAGCGCTGTGGGGGGGAACACCAAGCGCACCCTGTGTCCTCCAATCTTGCAGCCCCCTCAGGGCTCCTCCTTGCCCGCAGCACTGCTCCCAGGTGACAAGGGACCTGCCTGCTCCCACCCCAGGAGCCCAGAGCTACCCTGCCGTGGGCAGCACCTCTCCTGTGTTCCCCACGGCACAACAGGCAGGAAGCAGCATGAATTCTCCTGGAAGCTGCACACGAGAAGCACTAGCATAATTTCTACCCTTTTTTCTCCTTTTTTGCCAACTCTGGCATGTGCAGTGGGGCAGGCATGGGGCAGTGCATCAGCACCCCTGCCCCCCCAGCCTGGCAGCCACTGTGAGTGCCCAGGCAGCTCCACCAGCCTGTTTGGTGAGTTGCCACCCAAACGTGCTGAAGTTTAGGGTTAAATTCAGCGTTGCCAGATTTGAGAACTGAAAAGCAGGTTTTGGCTGGGCCCAGCACACAAGCGGCTCAGCTGATCGCAAGCGTTTTGTTTGCGTTGCCAGAGCAGTGGCACCGGGGGAGAGCTGCGCTGAGCTGCCCCGTGCCTCCGGCTCTGAATTAGCCCTTTTTCTAGACACAGCCCTAATCCCTCCTGACATGCTCCTCCTGCACCCTGCCACGAGCACAGGGCGGGCGCAGCGGCCAGGACCCCTGGCATGTCCTGCAGAGCCAGTGCAGGACGTGCTGTCCCCAGAGCACGAGGCCCCGGCAAGGCCACGGCATGGGGCAGGGCAGCACCATGTGGGAGGGAGCTGCAGCATCCCTGCTCCATCCCCATCACCCAGTACCTGTGGGTACCCAGTCCCCTGCTGCACACGCACAGGAGGCAGGGCATGATCCTGTTTTTGGGGCAGGTTGTGCCCATGCTGTCCTCTGCGCTCATGTCCGTGCACGAAAAACATGCCTTGTGCTCGGCGCTGCACCTCCTGTGCTGCAGGGGACAAACGCAGCACCCACTCTTTGCCCTGCCCATCCCTGCTGTGTTTCCATCCTGCCTGGTCCTGGATGCTCCTGGCAGAGCCAGCACAGCCTGGCAGGGACAGCTGCCAGCCTGGGGCTCACCTTTGCTGGGATGCACGGGAAGGTGCAGGGAGGCTCAGTGGCCCTGGGCACGGGGGAGGTGGGCATGGGGAGCCCAGCACCCAGGAAGGCCATAAATATGCAAAGTGCTAATCGCGCTGTCATGGGAACACAGCTCCTGATCAGAACAGGGATAAATATTTAGACAGACACTGTCAGCTCGCCAAGATTTGGCGTTTTTAATATATGTTATCTTATTTAAATAGAGAACAGGTTTCCAGGATTTGAGCCTCCCTGGCCTCCCAGGCGAGGGCAGGTGGGATGGGCGCACGCTGGCAGTGGGGTGCAGCACAAGGGGTGACTGGGGGCAGCTGCGGCTCTGCACCCCTGTACTGGCAGGAGATGCCTTTGCAGTGAGGGCTTGGCTGATTGATGCCGCTGCTCTAACCCGGCATCTCGCCGCTAGCACCCGCTATATTTATTAACGTGACATCTTCCTCTGCCAACCCGTTGGGGACGGCACTGGCACGGTCCCCAGGAGGCTGGGAAGAGCCTGCAGCTCCTCGCAACTGACTAGCCTGGCTCAACGCTCTCAGCAGCCGCTGTGCGAGGAGGGGGCCAGGCCCTCGCCCCCCTCCCCTGCCTCCACACAGACCACGTGGGTTTTGCTCCAAGCTCCCTGAAACCAGCCCAGCTCCCCGCTTACCTTCCTGAGCCCAGAGGAGAGGAGAAGAGAATGGAAGCAAACCCAAACCTGAGCCTGAAGAGAGCAGGGCCATGGGGAGGACAGAGCCAAGCACCCTTGGCTGCCCCGGGGGTGGCGGGGGTCCCCCGCAGCCCACGGGCCGGCAGCGAGGGTTTCAGGTGCCACCGCAGGGTTTGGATGCCGCCTGGCTGCCCACCGCCCCGCTCTGGTGTTCCCCCAGCCGTTGCCATGCCAAACCCTCGCTCCCGTCGGTGCCCACGACGACGGCGCGGCCGTGGGAAGAGTGACGCTGCACCATGCACACTCATGTGCACGCTCACACGCACGTGCACACGCTCACACGCTTCCAGAGCCTTCCTCGGCCAGTCCAGCTGAGGCCGTCCCCGTCCTGTCCCCATCCCCAGCCTGCGTCTCCCCCACGGGATGAGCTGCTCCTTGCCAGGGGCGACGGTGCTGCAGCCCCACGGCCGCCGGC